GAAGTTGCCCGAGAACTTTAGGGTGACTGATGTTGCCCCACACAGAAGGGGCCTGTGGACTAATAGCTGGCTGACCAAAGCAGCTCCTTGTTAGGGGCTGGATCTGCCTGTGAATTTTTTGGAGGAGACAGTTTGTGCCTAAGTGTTTGCTGGCAAAACACATGTAGAGCACAGAGGGCCGGTCCTCCGGCAGAACAGCTGCCATGAGTGTCACAAGCAGGAAAAGATGGCCTCGTTGCATACTAGAGAGTGGGGGCTAGACCCTGGGACGCCAGGCAAATCTCTCCACTACTAAGGGAAAAGCAGTGGCTTATTCTCCTGTATACACCTGTCAAAAGGTAGGAGGGAAGAATAACAGAGTAAGGGTTGTTATCCACTCCCTGGCAAGAGGGTCATGCTGGGCCTGGACTGGAGTGGGGCACACTGGTGTGCAGTGTTTGGTACACAACGATGGACAGGCATACTCTTGACCCCACTTCTTTATTGCTACATTATCAAATAATCTGCTTCTCAGCTGGAAAATTAGGGCTAAGAAAAGTGTGACTATTTATAGAGCATTTACATGAGCCAGGCGCTAGGTTTATAATAGGATTTAATTAATTTCTCAACAATCTTGGGAGGGAAATGTTATTACCCCCATTTCACAGACAAGAACATGAAGCTTGGGGAGGTTGAATGTCCTGCCCCAGATCAAGCAGAGAGCAGAGGCAGAGGCAGGATTTGGAGCCAGGCTTGTCAAATACCAGAACCCATGACCTCGACTTTGACACTGGACTGCCAGCCAAGGAAAGGAAAAGGCCTCATAGGTGAGCTTTTGCCAATAGTGGACTTGTCTGAGCTCCCCTCCAGAAACACTGCTAAAAAGAGTATTTTCAAAGCTGCTCAGGCCTGCACATCTTTGCACTTCCAAGCCCAGAGCAAAGGGGACTTAGATCTGACCTGATGCAGGCCTGGGCCTCTGCAGGATCCTGTCCTTTCTCAGCTAGCAGCCATTCAGGTACAGAAGTCATTTTTCCAGAAACCACCATTCATAGGTAAATTTTCCTTTGTCACAGCAGGTTTGGGCCTGTGAATTCATGCCTGAGAGGGCAGTGTGTGAAACAAGTCCATGAAATCGACATAGACAGCAGCAAACTTTCCAGAGGAGGAGGGAGTGAAGAAACAGCAAATATTTCCCGAGGCTCGGCCTTATCATTTTCCTGGAAATTCCCAAGCTGTCATTCAGCTAGCTTCTCAATAGCTAGACACTGAAGGCAAAAACTCCTCTCCGTGCTCCTCCTTGTGTCCTTGGAGCTCAGTACTCATATTTACTGTTCACAGAAATGGGCCCATCATATGCCTAACTAGCACTAATGAAAACCACACATACTTAGAATACAGTGTGGCATCATTATTCCACTGTTCCATTTTACAGATGAGGAAAATGAGGCCCCTCAAAGCCAAGTGCTTCGGGAGCAAGGTCTGGGTCTCTGATCACCTCACTCCAGGTCAGGGTGATCTCCTTACAAGACCTGTGATTTTCAAGCTGTCGGATTCCTCACGTCCATGAGAGAGGTCAGGGGAGCCAAGCGGGCAGGGTTTCCAGCCTGACCAGCCAGGTGCCCAGCACAAAGCAACATTTGATGAATACTTATTGAATGGATGAATGAATAAATGGGTAAATAAATGCTTTAGAGTTCCTTTTTATCTATATCGGAGCTTCAGGTAAAACTTCATTAGAAAAAAAAATGGTTCTGTGAAAGCAAAGTCTGAAAACCATCACACTGGAGTAGACAGTGCTGACCTCCCGATTACTAGTGGATTTTCAGTGCAGAGCTGATGTTTGGAGGGTGGAAAGAGATGAGGGGAGGAGATGACTAAGGAACCTGGAACCACAGCTGGCAACTGGATCACTGGACACACTGGATCACCGCCTCACTCTAGTTCAAAAGTCCTAAATCTGTAGTCCTTGGGACTCTGGAGAGACCTCCTGCATACTAGGCAAAACTTTGTGTAGTTGCATTTTTCTAAGCAGAAGATATAAAGTTCTCATCACATTCTCAGAGGAACATGTGGCCTATAAAAAGGTTGTGCAGCACTGCTCTAAGTCATGATCTAAACCTCCACAGACATGGGTAATTTTAGTCATGTTCAGGAGGCTGAACATTTTATAGCAAGGAAATGGCAAGACAGAAAAGGCTGACTGGCCCAAAGCCACATGGAAGGTTTGCAGCAAGGTTAGAATCTGGATCTGGGATTTAGTATGTTATAATACATCAAGGGTTCTTAACCTTGGCCCCTTGGTTGGACTTTAGGATCTATAAACCTGCTGAAAACTGCATGCAAAACTAGGAGGAAGCACATTTTCCTATGAGAAGGAGCCAGTGCTTTTATTAGATACTCAAAGGGGTCTGTGACCTAAATAAGGTTAAGAACCACTACAATCCTCTAGGTTGGTCCTCAGTTCTGCCTTTCCCGCAAAGCCTGAAGAACGCACAGGCACCGTTCTGAGGCAACCGACCTCTGATCAGGGTAGTGGTGTAGGTACTGCACATAATTCTTACTTGCACCATGTAAGCCCCTCTTAGCATGCTATTATCAGCCCTTTCTCAGTAACAGGCTGAGAGCGAGACAGTGTATATGGTGACCAAACTGAGTTGGCTGAAGGTTACAGAAACTTCTTGACATCAGCCAAGATGTCAAAACTGAGACTCTAGACATGCTCAGAACCAAGATGGGCTCTGTCCCCTGAGAGAGAGGAAGCAGGCAAGCCAGTGAGCACTCAGTTAAATGTCGTCTCAATTTGGAAAGCGCAAAGAGACATTTATCAAGTCAGCCTTTCTCCAGCACTGGGAGTGCAATGCAGTGCTCACTCAGAGCCTGGGGGCAGTTCAGAGATTGACAGGCAGCCTCCTTGTCTGTCACCCAACTTCAGCTTGGCAGCTCACTGACCCTACCTCTCCTCTGGCTAAAACAAGAGTGAGTTGGCAATCACCACCCCTGGGACTCTGGCGATAACCAAACCCCTAAAAGAAGACAGGAGCGGGGAGGAAGGAGTTTTAGCACAGGCTCCGCTTGGCACATCACATGTATGTAGAAAATAGGTCAGCGTTTTTCGGCCCCTACTAAGTATTGGGTACAATGTAATGGGTGGGGCAAGGAGGGAGGCACAATCAGAAACACTCATATAAAAACATTTTGTATTTGTTGAGCGATTACTATGTGTCAGAAGTAGCACTAGAAATAGCAGTGGGGGGAGGGGCATACAGAATCATTCCTTCAACAAATATTTAAAGTAACTACGACGTGCTGGGTAAACTTGGTGCTGAGTGCTGGGTGGAGGGGAGGGCAATGCACAGAATCATTTGTTCACTGACTATTTACTGAACATCTACTAAGTGCCCTGGAGATATAATGAACTAAACAGCCTGTTCCCTCTGAATATTTACTGAACATCTACTAAGTGCCCTGGACTGTGTTAGCCCTGGAGATATAATGAACTAAACAGCCTGTTCCCACTGTAGCGTCAGGGCTCTCTGAAAACCACATCTCCAGATTAGGAAACTGAGGCAGCAGAGCCTCACACCAAGGTCTCATTGCTGAGGGCACCAGGCCCTGAACCTCAGGTCACCCAGTTTCCTAACCTAGGCTGGCCCTGCTGACTGGGGCCACCTCCCTGTCCTCGCCTCACATTTCCTTTCGGGGCACTGACAATGAGTCATTAATAATAGAATTTTAATGGCAAAAGCACAGTGGTTCTGGGTCTGCTGATGAAGCCCATCCCCTGGGGCTGTGTGGAGACTGAATAGCGAAGAATTTTCGGTCCCTTGACAACATCTCTCTCACGACTCTTCCATCCTTCTCTCTCCACAAGGAGAACTTAAAAATATCCCACTTCCACGTTTGGCACCTCGAACTGAATCAGTAATTAATTTGTAATGACTGAGGGGGAAGGAGAGTCCCATCGGGCCACCACCACAGGACTGTCTGAACAGCCCCTTGACCCCAGGCATAGCCAGGAGGAAGTGGTAATCAGAGAGCCCAAAATGACAAGGCGGGAAGAGGCTTGCGAGTGGGGCTCCACGGGAGGACCAGAATGACATTTTACTCAGCGGGTACCCCATGAAGTTTCAGTCCGCAGGGAGCTGGCTCTGTGCTCAATTCCATGAGGAAAACATTGGGTTAACCAAATTCTTTACTGCAAGACTTCTTGGAGCCTTGAATATGCCGATGTGCATTGTGAATCTATAAAAAGGGGATGTCTACTGTAGAGCTTCCCAAACTTATTTGACCACAGAAACTTTTTTTTTTTTTTGCAGAGAGATTAGTGCACTGCATAGCTTAAACCCTAAGTTTTAACCAGTGTGTGCACTGAGCCCCTACCTGCACGGGGCTTTATGCTAAGTGCGGAGGATACTGGAATACAGAGAAGACAAGGTCCCCGCTCCCAAGCTGCCTTCTGTGGGAGGCGGCCACAAGGGGAACGGTGGGGGTTGAGACCAGTGTTCAGGGCAGCCTTAGAAAGGGAGTGGGGGTCAGGGGAGGCACTGAGCTAGAGGAAGCTTAGGGTTCCAGCGGTGAGAGGAAGGGGCAAGAAAAGTGTGGCAGGACCACTAGAGGGTCATAGGGAGAGAAAAAGGAGTGGGCAGCAGAGAGGGAAATGTGGACAACCCACCTCCCAACTCCTCCCACCTTTGAACTGGCCAAGCTGGGTGGTGCTTCCCATTTGAACAGTCACTAGGAGGTTTGGTCCTCAGTCCCTCCCACCCCCTACCCTCAACCACATCTATGCTATTGAACTTGGGCTAACATCCAAAAGCCAAGGCACAGCTATTCACAAATTCAGTAATTGGAGTCATTAGCGTTGACTCAGAAATCATTTTTTCTAAGTCTCTCTCTTGGAGAAGCTTTTAAGACCCTTTAAATTGGTTAATGGAGAGTTTAGAGACGAGAATGGAGCCTTGGCTTTCAGCTCCCCCTGGCTGCCTCCCTGCCTCCCCCCAACACACTCAAGGGCAGAGTGATGAGATAATCCCATATCTGTTTTATTAAGCTCCTATCCATCTCTGACACACTCTTCACAAATGAAGATCTCAAAATCTACACTCTCCGGCTCCAAGAGTCCAGGTGCTCGATCTGCATTCACTCCCTCACAGCAGCAGGATGATAAAAACACTTTCGCACAAAAATACGGTGTGAACGATGCAAAAGAGCCTTGGGCCAGGAGTCAGGAGGCCTGGGTCCTCTCCTGGCCTGGTGACTCAAAAAGCCATGTAACCACGGGCATTCACTGTCTCCTCAGGTCTATGCGAGCATCAAGGTCCTTTCCGCAATGAAATGCCCCACAGCAGCCCTGCAGGGTAGGAAGGCAAACACCACTGCCCTTGGTTGACAATTGAGGAAATGATGCAGCGAGACAGGTTACTCACTGCTTCAAGGTGACATGGCCAGGAGGGCGACATGGCCAGAACCTAGGTCTTCACACACTTCCTTCTTCTTTTAAGTGCTGGGGCAGGTACTTAAGGTTCTTTGGGAAGGTGGGTGGATAACTGGCCTCTTCTTTGGGACTTAAGTTGTGGAATCTCTGAGCCCACAGGCTCCACCTTTACAGCTGAAGTGAGGTCTGAAAAAAGTCAAGAAGATGTATCAAGCATTTAGGCAAAAAACTCCTTCCTTCCAAATCAGAGGTGCAACGGAGCTGATCATGAATTCACTGGAGATGAACAAAAGCGATCTGATTCTGTATCTCCCAAGTTTCAGCCATTCATGGAACCACCTCATGATTTCTGCCTTCTCTCCGATCTGTGCTCCTGTTTACACAATGTTACAATATTTTTCTTTAATTTGATTCACTATTTAAATATGTTAAGCTATGTTGGTTACATTTTTACATTACACATTAAATATACAGCTACTAAAATAAAAAAATATATATTAATTTGAGTACCACTAAAATCCTCTTGTGAACCACCAGAGGCACACACATTGGATGCTGTCAAAAAATGACTTCGTCTACGCTTGAGTAAACTGAAGCATGGGGAGGAGAAGGTAAGTGATTTGCTCAAAGACAAAGGGTAAAGTGAGGACCCAGGGTCGCTGGACCCTTCAGTAGTTTTTCACAGGTCACTGAATGAATCTTGTTGGTGCACGCACCAGAGATGCCTATGATTGTATCCACTGCTTATCTGTGAGGCTACCAACCCGGGGAAAAGGTCAAAGTCATTTATTAGCCATGCATTTGAAATTGCTTGAGAACCTGACTCCCACTGGAATTTCCACCCTGAAAAGGGATCTAGAAACCCTATTTTTATTGCCATCTAACCTTCTCCTCACCCTTCCCCCCAGTACCACTGAGAAGTGCCAGTAACTGTGTCTGATCTCACCTTAGCCAAAACCCAGTCTGACGAGATTCCTTTCCAAGAGGTGTGGAGGGGCAGTCCTGCTTGGGGCTCCGGGGCTGGCTCCAAGACTCCTCCCACTTCTACAGAGGCCAAGGCTCCCTGTGCTCGAGGCATGTGGGAGGCTTGAGGCTCCTGCCAACAGGGTGTTCAGGCTGCACAGGGAGGGGCTGGAGAAGGATTTCAATCCTGTAACTGTCCGGTCGCTGGGCCCCGGGGCTGTAAGGAGAGGTGAGAGCAACTCTTACTCATGCTATATTCTTGGGTTTCTACTTTGGAGCAAAGACTTCTTAAAGGACTTGGTCCCCCCTGGCACTGTTAACCCCACCAGCCAAGTGACTCATGGGCAAGCAGGGCTCTTGGAACCCTAGAAGGGTAATTCGGGGCACTGAGGCAGCTTCGGGATGTCATCTCTCCTGAAAAACCATGAGTAGCTACCATTTATTCAATACCTACTGTGTGCCAGACTGTGCTAAGCCCTTTATAGTCATTCATTTAAACCTTACAACCGAATGAGTAAGGTACTATCAGTACTTTCATTTTCAGAGATGAAGAAATTGAAGCTCAGAGACATGGAGTCCACGCTCGGTGACAGAGCAGGGGTTAAAAAAGGTGCAGGAAGTGACAAGGAGACCAAGAGCTACTGCCACCCTCCTCTCTGTTGCAGAGTACTGAGTTTGGGGAGGAACCTGGCTGGCTTTGACTTGCATCTGTACCTGCTGCCTCCGTGGAAAAGAGGGTCTGCAGCCTCTCCCGGGCGGGCTCATTCCCCAGAGCCGCTGACTGCTGGTAACATCTGACAGCCTCTCCGAGACTCCTCTGCACACCGAGACCCTTCTCATAGCAAATCCCCAGGTGGTACCTGCTCTGAGAGTCCTAAAGGAGAAAACGGACAGACACACAGATACACACACATGCAGGGCCAAAGAAGTGAAATGCTAAGGCATGAAGACGATGGAGCAGTGAGGCACGCTGGGGCTTCATCCACGCAAAGTCAAGACGCAGCTCCAGCCCTCCCTGTACCAAGGGATCCTAACCTTGAAAAGTCAGAGGCCTAGAGCCCACCCAACACAAAGGAGACAGGGATCCCTCGACCCAAGGAGAGTCCAGCCAGAGGAGAATGGAAGCTTCTCTCGCTGAGACTGATGCTGAAAGTATGCGTAAGTGAAGGCCGCAGGGAGCACTCAGCCCACCTATGGGAAACCTGGGAGTCAGTCCCCTATGTTATCCCAAAAGAGCCAGAAGCAAGGGTGAAGGCCAGACTTCCCAAAGGCTCTGTGTGCCTTCCTGAACCTCTGCCGAGAGGGCTACACAGCATACTTTACAGGGAAAGTGTTCCTCCTCCTTCGAAAGGTTACAGGCTGACCCCTCTGCCAGTGGCTCGGGAGCCTCTCTCCTCTCACTGAGAACTATCTCCTTGAAGAGGCAGGATCAGGTGGGGTTGGGAGCCGGTCTGAACAACCAGGCTGCCTGGCTTCCAATCTTGGCTTCACCACTTGCCAGCTGTGCAACCTCAGGCACATAAGCGCACATCTCTGTGCCTCAGTTTCCTCATCTATAAAGTGGGCATAATAATGCGACCTACCTTGTTACATTAGCTTGAGGATTTAATGTGTTAGTATATGAAGAGTACTTAGTGTTATTATTTTCATACCTTGAGTTGTCCGTATCATTAATCTCTCCCTCTTCACTGGAATATTTTCATTATAGTCAATTTCCCAACTTAAAAAACAAAACACTCTGTTGATTCCCAGCTCTGGGTCCCATTTCTCTTTTACCTTCTATAAATTTCTGGACAGAGTTTCTAACATGCAGGCCAAAGTCTATGTAAATAAATATGGTGGACTCATGGCTACAGGCTGGCTTAGAACACAGCACAGGATATTTGTAAGGCCAAACACTGACTCTATAACTGCTCAGCACCAAAAGACATAATTCCTAGTGGAGCAGATGAGTGCGAGGCCTGTGCCCCAACACAGGGTTACCTAACATCCCTTTGTGCAACTTCTCCTATCATGCTGGGTGACTAAAGCAGGCCAGGGTGGCCCCAGCTTGTCCAGCACAAGCCATGGGGCCCACTCAGACCAGGGAAGATTCTGTGGCTCTTTCAAGGAAAGAAAGGCCCAGCAGCCCATACTCATTGGTGACATCCGTCTCCTTCTGACGGCTACTAGAGATGCTCTGGGCAACACTCTAGAGTGAAAAAGGGCAAGTCTCCTGAGGCTCAAGAGTTAAATGAAGCTCTCAGTATGTCAGCCAGAAAACAAAGAAAAGTTGCAACCCTTACACAGAAGAATTCTCGTCTATGCACACTGCTGGCTTTCATCCAGTGCTCTTGGGCCTTCAAGATGCAACTCGAAAATATACTGGTCAAATGCACTGGAGGAATGCAGCAAACCACAGATGGCTTCTTGGTGATTCACAGTGACAGTAAACTGAGATTTCCTACATTAAAGATACCTGTTTAACTCAGTACTTCCCAACTCCAACTGACCCTCTCTACCCATGTATTACTTATAAACATCCCATGAAACTAATGCTCTGTGGAACAAACTCTGGGACATGCTGCCTGGATGCCAATGTCCCCAGTTCCCAGACAACTAGATATCACCCCAAAGCTGCTCAGTGTCTTCACCACACGCATCTTCTGACCTCCCGGAACTACGCCACTTGTAATGATGCACCTTTCGTGTACGCAGCTGACAAAATGCTTTCACACCTATATTTTAGTCAGATTTTGATTCTCACAACAACCTTGTGAAGTAGCTGACAGGACAGGCAGGTATTACTATGCCAGTTTTAGAGACACGGGAACAGGTTTGGATCAAAAAGCGACCAGCCCAGTAGTGTGCTGGTATATGATTAACAACTGGCTCTCCAGGGGGAAAAGCCCTGCTTTGTAGATTTAGTAATTTCTGTGGTGCAAATCCTCCTATCACAGCTGGTTTTACACTACCAATATTCTTATAGGTTGGTACAAGCCAGCTCTGGCACACCCTGGACCTGCCCAAGGTCATATGGTAAGTCAGCGAGTTAAGACTTGAAGCCAGCCCAACACTCTTATCAAAAAGTCCCCTAAACACAGGAGAAAGTACCAGCTCCAAAGTCCCTCCCTTTATCAGAGTTGATCCCCGACACGCCTGGATACTGGAGACCTCGTACCCCATTGTTGGCTGCAAGCCAAAGATACTTCACAGCTCTCCGCTCATCCAGGTACGGCTCCTTGGTGAAAAGCACCCCGAGGAAAGCTTGGGCCTGTGGTCAAGGAGGAAGGAAAAATGTATCTTGGTCACTGCCAGACCCCGCATGCCCTGGGTGCCCAGGAGAGACCCCACCCATGGCACTCACCTCTCTCAGGCCTGAGTCTGCAGCCTGATTCAGCATGGACACTGCCCTCTGCCGCTCAGAGTCCCAAGAGGAGGCTGGGTCTTGCAGCAAGTACCTGGCATAGCGGTACTGAGCCAGGCTGTGGCCCTGGCTGGCAGCCAACTGGTAACAAAGGGCTGCCTGGGGCAAAGGGAGAACACCAGTCAACTGGTAACACTGTAAGCCGATTTTTTCGAGCAAAATTTTTAAAAGTTATTTTAATTACATAATAAATAATCATTATAGATGAGCAAATGCAGATAAGCCAAAAAAAATGTTAAATTCAGGTAAACCAAAAATAGAAACATACACTTCTAAGAAATCTTGTCTCCTAAAGATCATGCTGTTAACACTTTAGTGTACACCTTAGCAAATTTCTTCATATATATGCATTTACATATAGACGCATGTACATTATATATATATATACATTCACACACTTATATATAAATATGTGTGTGTGTATAGGGGTGGAGAGGGAGGGAGAGTAGGGGATAGAGAGAGAGGTATACTATTTTGTAACCTATTTTTTCACGTAACAATCCACCGTGAATGTCTTTCCTTGCCAATCAATATAGATCTAGCACATTATTTTTAAGGCCCACACAGATGTTATTAACCAATTCATTCTCTGTTGAAGGAATTTCAGGTTGCTTTCCTGTTTGTCGTTGTTTTTTCTTTTTTTTGCCATCATATACAATTCTAAGAAATACATTCTTGTATATAACATCTTTGTGGACTTACTGTACTTTATTTTAGAATCAATCTATTCGCCAAGGTAACATTCTAGGCCCTGAGGACACAACTGCAAAGAATACAAGGGCCCTGGCCTGCCTGAGTTTGGAGTCTAAATTCCTAGAAGTTAGAAGCTTCTTTCTTATTTTTCCCTCACAGCTGGGAGAGAGAAGGGGACTTTCCCCAAGTCCTGCCCACTGCTCATTTCTGGAGGTCACTCTGGGACACACAGCACAGGGCATGGGTCTCGGAGCAAGGAAGGAGGGGCCATACCTTGACGAGGTCCCTGGGGGTGCCTCTGCCATGTTCATGACACAAGCCCACATTGTACTGTGCTTTGCTGTAGCCGTGCTCTGCTGCTTTCTGGAAGTAGGAAAAGGCTGCCGCGTAGTCCCCATTCCTCATGTTCTCTGTCCCTGTAAGACAGCACAGGGCGTAAACACAGCTTCTTCTGTGAACTTCCCCACATCCTCCTCCAGATCCCAGAGGCTCTTCCTTTTCTTTCTTGTGCTGGACATTTTGCACATATTTCCATCCTCCAAATATTTCATCGGTTTGCCATACACATCAGTGGGTTCCACCCTCCTCACACCATCAAAGTCCACTTGGTAATAACATCCGATTTCCCTTTGGGAACAGCCCTCCGCCTGGTGCTGTCAATCAGTGTACCTGCTCTCCTCTCAAGCCATGAGACCTTCCCTCAGGTATCTGACCTTTGATCTGGTTGTGACAGGAGAGAAAACAGCTGTTGCAGCTTTATTCTGAGGACAGCACTCTGAAGACATTATCGGTTACTGCCGTACCACCCCCGCCTCCCCGCCTCCGATTCCTGTCCTTTCTGAGGCTTGGCAGGTCAGCAAATCTCAATAGATCCCTTTTGTGCTTAAATTAGACAGAGTGGGTTTTGGCTGTTTGTAACCAACACAACCTGATACAGTTGGTACTGTTAATCTTGCTTTATGAGGAAATAGTGAGAGGTAATAGAAGCAAGCAGCGACCTGAACTCAGGTGTGTCCAACTCCAAAGCCCATGTTCTTTTTATCCTCCGAACAAAAAGGAAAAGCAGGAGAAGACAGTCAGTTTTCAACTCTAAGCCTTTGCTCAAGCTGCTTCTCCCGCCTGGGATATCTTTTTCTGCCTTCACCATCGGACTTTTGCACACTTGTTTCTGCTCTAGAACCCGCAGACCACACTTAGGCTTTAAATACTTTTCTGGCACTTACTTAATGTATAAATCTTTTTCTATGAACTAAACTGTTTCAAGAGGACCGGCCCTGTCTCCTCAATTAGTCTGTAAAATCCTGGCGGCAGAAGCAGAAAAAGAATGTGGAAGAAATAACTCTGCATAGGGCGAAAGCTCTATACAAATGCAAAATATGATTATGGCTTATGCTCCTTTTGTGTTCTGTCACAGTGCTTAGCACTAGCTGAATAAATGAATATATGAATGAAGAAATGGGCAAGAAAATTCTCAGAAGAGACAATCTGCCCATCAAAATCCCAAAAAGCTAATGAGGTAGAAGCCAGGTTCCATTTAGCCAGCAGTGAATTACAGTTGCCTCTCTGCTACCTGAAAACTCACTGTCCAGGATTCACAGAGCCCTCTGTCCTTGAGGGGAAGACTCGGGAGGGCGAAGGATCCCACCCTGTCCCCATTCCCCACACTGGCTCCATCAACATACCCTGATCGATCTACTCTTCTCTGTCCCTCTGCTGCTAACCTAGATCAAGCCACCATCACTTTTTGCTTAGACATCAGTAACAGCTCAACTCAGTCTCCTATATCCCCTCTGGTATCCCTAAAATCCACATCTGTCTACACAACAGCCAGAAAGCTCTTTGAAAAAGTTAATTAGATCATGTGACTGCTGCCATT